CGATTAAATAATTCTCAAGCGGTCGTTGCACTGCTCTTGCAGTCTCGGAGTCACGAGAAAGTATTATTGATAACTTAGAACAGCACTGACTGGGTATAACAATCAAGCCGTAGTTAATCGTTTAATAGCTTAGAAATTATCTCTAGGTGGTGGGTCGGGTGGGAGCATATAGCTGGCCTACAATCTTATGGCGAGCGATAGCGAAACCAAAGCGAAAAATAGTGTTTACAACTAATTCATTTTATACCTCTAATTATTTTCCCATTTCAAAATATTAAATCATAGATCCATTACAATTAATAAATTTCCAATTACTACATAATTTGTTCAAAATTACTTCATTTTTTCTAATTAACAGCATTTCGTTTAAATGTTGTAACGAATCCCGCGATCTCGCAATAATGCTGGCTAAGTCACTTCGTTGACTAGCCAGTCAGATGAACGTAATGCAGATGGAGTATAGCAATAATATGTATTAGATATGTGCTCTTGACATAACTATTTAAAAATATGCAAGTAAAAATAAATATATTTACGATTTCGTGAAATGGTTGGTTTCGGTATGAATGCATAGTTGAAGTGTTTCTTTTAATAGTCTATGCAATAATTTTAAAAAAAATTGGAGGTGGATTAACTTTATACTTTTCGGATTATTTGCAGCATTACACATGGTTTCTTATACATTATGATTTGGAAATGGGAACCAAAACCCGAAAATACAAGTTTAGGTTAGAGTTTAGGATATAATTTCGGGTTTCGATTCCCATCTCTAATTATCATTGCATATTAGTAAAGAGAATCAGTGAAAATTTAATAGTTTTATCCATTGCTAAAAAAAAGTAACCGAGTAAAAAAGAAAAGGAAAACCGGGAAGAAAGAACCTCATAATTAATAAACTAAACTTTATGAATATGCTGCTTTTAAATAAATAAATAAATGGTATGGAAATATATAGAAATGTAGAATAAATCAGTTATTGCTCACGGAGCGAGCAATAAAAATAACATATTGAATTAAATTCACCTTAGCGTTAGGCAATCCTACTGTTTGCTTATAATTTAAATAGAACAGGTTATAATCATGAATAATCAAGTAAAATAGTCTTGGCAGAAAAGTTTTACGATCACATGAATATAGCCAATAAGTTTACAAAATTTGATATAAATTTTCTTTCAAATAAAACATCGATCTTAAAAACCTTCTTTACTCTGAATATGACACTGAGGAAATACTCGAAATTATTTTAAACAATATCCTGTTTTATCGAGATTAGAGGGGGTTTTTTTTAAGATGTGTCAACGATAATCCGCATTGCCACTGACCTGCTGTTTATGCAGCCGATAAGTGGCAGTACAGATTGTCGTTAGGGAAACTCGCTGATCCTCATAAACCTGGATATTATTATTATTAATGGTAACTATTCCTTCGAAGTTGTTTGATGTGACACAGTTAATTTTGCTTGAGTAGATAAGCATATAAAAAATGCTTATAATTTTCGCGTTGTAAAAAAACATCTGCAAAAAAAAAATTGTAATTATTCTTTAGGTGAGTTAAACCAACTTGTGTTTTTAGCAAATTTGTTATGAAACTAAGAATAAATGATATTCTTTATTATATTTGTTTTTAGCATTAAGAAGCTATTTATTATGTCAGAAGTAATTGTTACATAAACTTTTATCTCGATCAAATACAGTAGTAAACGAAATAACTTGTGATTTATTAATTAATTTTTCAAACTAATCCTAACTAAATCAGCAGGTTGAAGATAATATAGAAAAAGGTCAATATTCTAACGAGATAGAATTGATCAGAGCAAATTCTGAACAAGCCATCCCACAACATCTTCGAAAACTTCGTGGTGGTGGTGGTATTATTGGTGCGGCAATTGGTTGTTTCTGTTGTATATCAATTATAATAGCTGTTATTATTTTACCATTATATTACACCGGACAAATTGGTAAAGACGCATTAAAGTATACACCATGATTGAAGCATTTAATCAATTTTATTAAAATTAAAGTTCTAATAAAACATGGACATTATTAAAATGCACCATAATTGTTTAACATCTTAATTGCATATCTCAAAAACCATCTAATTAACCAAGATTGTGTGTGTTAAGTAAAAATGTCAAAAACTTATGCTAACTAAAATTGGTTCCTTATATCTGAGCTCTAAGTACAGTCAACCCTCCGTAAATGCATCCTCTTGGGACTATAAGCAAAATTTTTAAAAATATTCCTTTATGGAAAATGTGCATCTATGGAGGGCATTTTATTAAGTGCACTATATATTTAAAGAGGGTATTCATAATGTGTGCATTTATAGAGGGTTCATTTATGGAGAGTTGACTGTATATAACTGCGTCCTAACTCTAAATTTAGGAAAAGAAGATATGTTAACACTTTGGGTGCATTTCCAAATTGTATAACGTAAGATGTAAAAATTTTTTATTGAAATGCTTTTTTCTCAATCGAAATTAACTATTGATACTAATTTATGTAAAGTAAATTCCCTCCAATGTGCAACATAATCATTATGCAAAATTTTGAACCCTTAATTATCGTTTTATCCAATTTGTTTGTAAAAATCGATGTATAACGAAAACATATAAATTCAAGGTAAAGTTAGCTTTTGTCATTAAGTAAAAGGTTTAGCTCAAAATTTTTTTAAATATATAGTTAATTCTTAGATAGTGTGTGTTATATTAATGTAATTATTAGCATTAGAAAAAAATTAGCGTAGATGCCTTTTCTCCCAGTCTTTAGAGATTCATAATTTTGCTCAGCTCATTTTACCATATATGAGAATTTGTTGTAATGGTTATGTGCATATATGAACTAGGCAGTGACAACATTTTATCCAAATTGGATTAAATCATATGCTTTTTTATGGTTTGTGTTATCTTTGTGCATAGTATCTGCAATTAAAGTTTTCATGTAATAATATTTTATCTTTTATTTTTATATGCATTATCTTTATATAGATATATTGTTTTTGTTGTTTTTTTTTGTAAATTTTTTTTGTAAAAAAAGGAAAATGATGCCATATTAATTGATAACAAAAGCTTCAATTTGATTTTTATTTTATTAGTTTTCTATTTAAATTGTTTTTTCTGGACCTTTTATCAAGTAAATTATTTAATAATTATTAATTATCAAGATTATAGTAAATAATGTAATAAAAGAATTTGATAATTATTTTTATATTTAAATTATAGTTGTTAATCAAGAAATGTAATTAATTCTAAGTTTTATATAATTATAATTTTTTGTAAATATTAAAGGTGAATAATTATAATTTTATTATATAATGAAACTTTATAATCTAATTGTAAAATGTAAATTAGACTTTTAGATATGTTAAAAAAAACAAGGCTAAGAAATATTAAAAATTTTTGTTATAATTATTTTTATAAATTTTATAATAACAAGAAAATTTTCTAATAATCAAAATAATTATTAAATAAAAAACAAATAAATTATTAATATTATTAATATTAAAAGTTTATATTAGTAATTTTTTACTATTTTAAAATTATAAAATAGGTATAATAACTTAAAATATAAAAAAGATTGAAAAAATTTAAAAAATATCAAGCAAGACAAAATTATAAAAAATTAAAAAAATTTAAAAAAAATTAATAAAGTTTAAAACTAATAATCTTTATTTAGACCAATTCTGTAACTTTTTTTATAAAACATTTATACTAGTTTTTGCTTATTTTCTATATATTTTATTAAGTCAATATTTGAAAAATATCAAGCATCTTGAGCTAATTATTTTGACATATATTTTATTATAAACAAATTAAAATCATCAAGATACAAACAAAAAAATAAAAACTAAAATCTATTTTTATGTTTTTTTATTGGTATTTTAAGAAAATCTGCTAGGTCAACTCAGAAATTTTAATTTTCTAATATTCATAAAAATTTTTTAAACATTCAATTAGTTTTTACAAATATATTACACTTCTTAAATTATTTCTAAATAGTCTAGAAGCTCTGATAATTAAAAAAAAATTCTAAAAACAATATTATATAAATAATTTATACTATTTGAATTTTATAAATATTATTCTAAAGATAGTTACAAAATATCAAATATTATTAATATTTAAACCTGACTTCTTTGATTTTAATAATTATCTCTCCAAATATAATAACAGGTTTAGTTCTGTTACTTATAACAGTAATGTTTAACTCTTAAAGTTTTACTAATTAATTTTAATCTTATAATATGTGATCTATAAAATAATTTTTATATTTTTGCAAAGTTCACAAAACTTATATTATTATTTGTCTGTGTAAAAAATATTATATTTATTTTGTATTACAACATATTACTATTTTATTATTTTTTTAACTTCTTTTAAAAAATATTTTAGATTTATCTAATTCAATAAAAATAAATTTTAATATTAATCTATTCAAATTTTTCAAAAGTCTTTTAAGATCTAGATTTTAATCTAAACATAAGATTATTATTTATTTTTTATTTTCTATAATAATATCAAAAAAACCTTTATATAGTCTGTTTTTTTCAAACTATTTTCATATTATATACATATATACATAATATTCAAAACTAAAAATATATTTTGTATTATTCTTAAAAACAACAAACACTTTTTAGACTCTCAAGCCTTAATTTTTACAACTAACAAAAGAAGTTTTTTTATTCATATACATTGTATTCATATTCATAAACTTAAATATGCAACCTTTTCAATATCTATAAACTAAAAACAATGCAATTTATATTGTAAGATCAAGTACTAACAACTAACTACTAAAAAAAATATATATTTATTAAGAAATTTGTTACAAAATTATTTAAAAAAACTAAAATCACTAATTAATCTAAAGATAATAATTAAACTAAAAATAATAAAATATATAAAAGCTAAAGCAATAATAATTTAAAACAAAAATCCAATAAAAAGAAAAAAAATTTATAAAAATATAATATAACAAATAATTTTAACTGTTTTTTAAATTATTTTATTATTTTTAAAATATAAAAATATAGTAAATTAAATATACTACTAGTATTACAAATTTTTTTTTTTTGCTTTCACTAAAGCTGTAGTTATTAGCAGCTATTGCCTTTATTGTATTTTAATTATAATTACATAACTTGTACAAGGTAAGTCTACAACTAGCTACATATACAACTTTTAGTTGTCTATTTTAAGTAGTCTATTTGCATAGCAGATTCTATACTAGTTGCTATATCTGCAATCTACTAGGAGATTACTTATTTAAATACTCTGATCTCTATACTTATACTAACAAATAATAGACAAGTTTCTATATATTGAAGTATCATCTTACCTAACCTTGACCTTTCTGTCTGTACATCTGTAAAGCCATTATATATTTCAAAGTATATAACCTGACTATAGGGCTCTAGAAGGCTCTTTTGTTAACTAACTACCTATATTTAGTCTCTTGTTAACAGAGCTCACTTTTGTAGAGTTCACCCAGACCTTAGTACTAACTTTATAATATATCTCTAGTACTTATAGTATACCTTTGCTTCTGACTTCAGACTTTCAATTTAGATAGTTCAGAAGAACTTAACCTGTTTCTGGTACTCTAGAGTTTACACCCCAAGGCTCTTTTTCTCTGGTTTGAAACTTCTGGTGGCCTGGTTAGTAGTACTTCTTACTTAAAGTTCTTGCTTACCCAATTTCTTTCATATTGGTATCTGTTTTTTAGATTTAGCCTTTACAGTAGTACTATTAAAAATCTATGCTTTCTTTCTACTTGGGTCTTTCCAAGTGGGCTCTGGCCTCTTAGTTTACAAATTTATATGACCATGAGAACCTATCTTAGGTTTGCATCACCCAATGCTAGTTTGCATTTCTCTGTATAATTTTAACATTGCACAGATGCCCTATAACCTGCCAGTTATGCCAGTATAACTGTATTACAAGTATCTTATTTTAACTAATTAACAGAATGCTATTACTGTAATAATGTTTATATATTACATAGGTGATTATTCAAATTTTCACTATTGGTAGGTTTTGAACTCACTACTTACTACTTGAGGGTTGACAACTTATTCACTTTACTAAGTCATCACACCTTTAATGTTACAATTTTTTTTACTTCTAAAATCATATTTGATAAACTTTAATTTAGAACAAACTATCTTTATTAAACTAACAAATACAAAATTTGATAACAGACCTCATACTAAATACTTATTTAATTATATATTTAACAAAATATCTAATAATAAATCAAAATTTCCAATTAATTTTATTTTCAAAATTAATCCTAAATTTGATCAACCAAATCTTATTTTTTTTAAAATTTTAGTTGAGACTCTTAAAAGTTTATTTACTAAATTTACAACAGTACTGTTTACTTAACTAAACTATTTATATATTTTCTGATCACATTATTTTATTTTATTATATATAACTAAAAATAAAAAAAAGTTACTATTAATATAATAAGCCTTTATTTATATTTAATTAACATTTACAAAACTATTAATTTTAAAAAATTTATAGAAAAACTTGACATTAAGTTTTTACACTTTACTTTAAATTTTAATATTAATTACAATACAAATAAACTACTTTTTAATATTAAAATAACAATAGATTTAATATCAAAATTATATTAAATATCTCTTCTAAAAAATTTAAAGATAATTTCAGAATTCCTTTATTAAAACCTTATATTACAATTTATGATAGTTGGTTTTTAAAAATTTTAAAAATACAAAATTCATTTTAAGAAAGTTGATTAACAAAAAATAAGTAACTAATTAAAATAGTAATATTTTAAAAACTTATTAAAAATTAAAAAAAAACTTTTACTAAAAATATACTTATTTTCTAATATATTACTTATATTTTAAAAATGCTCTAAAGTCACTTTTAAAGTAGCATTTATTATTTTTATAAATGTTATAACAAATCATGTAACTTAATATCGGATAACACAGAATATTGTTTTAAA